GCAATTTACTCTTAGCTTAATCTAGTTGCATTTTCAATTAGTAGTTTGATAATAGTAGAATATAAAGAAAAACCCAAAAATGAATAGAAGACCAATTAAGAGCACACACGCAATCCTAAGCTAAATGGATACTCGATTCCAATCCTAGCTCTCTGTGGATTCGATCCCGACCCAAAATCGGATAAAAGCTATTGCGACCCTCTCTCGCTACTTTTTAGTGGTGCGAAGTTGGCAGCGATCAGGAACCTCAATGGTAATTTGTTCACTCTACCTCCACTTGAAGAACCAACTTCGGTTCGAGTAACATTTGTAGCGGGGACTGTAGAGGAAGTCATAATGGCTTGAGGAGGAGCAGAAACAGTAGCAGTAAAAACTGGCAAAGAATGTTCCATAGGAACAGACACGGGAAAAGAGGCAAGAGGTACTTTATCAGACACCAAATCGAAACCTTCACTATCAAACCCACGAGAAAAAAGTTGTTCATCAGAACCACGAGCTGCCATAGGGGTATCATCTTCTGAACTCACTAAGGTGGCTTCAACAGGATCGGTCACGGGAACAGAACGGGGAGGAGTAACTTCATCATCTGAAATAATGCACTTTCTAACACGCGGTCATTTTATCAATGAACCCTCATCTCGTTCCTCTTCCTCTTCAGAATCTTGGGATTTGTCAGCTTTCCTTTTCGATGAAGAACTCAGAATTATCTCCTGAGTCCTTGCCAAAGAAAGTCTGGAAGTTGTGATCGAATCGGCACTTACACCACGAATAGGAAACCTTGATAAAAAGAAGGGTCAGATACATTCTAAGGGAAGAATGAACGGGGGGGGGGGGGGGGGGTTAAGGCATTTACCATGAGTTTTAACCTTCCAAACAAACCTGTGAGAAAGGTTTTTCCAAGATCTACCTTCCATCGGAGCAACAGTCAACAATTTCTCTACCCAACCACGAAAATTGGTAATCTCGTCAATAGTTCCTATGGTTGCTGAAAAAAGAGAAAGTTAAACAGTCACGGGAAAAAACAAACCCCTTCAAAACAAAAAAGGTGAAAAAAAAAAGAAGAAGAGAAAGTTGCAAAAGTAAACTTACGTGCAAAATTCCACTTTTCAGTGAATGGTATATTTTCTTCACCTACCAACCCTACAGTAGGAGCAACAACAAATCTGGCATACCAGCCACGGTCCTTATCATCCTCAGGGCTGACTAAAACTCTCTTACTCCTCGCCTCCAAAGTAAAGATCCCATGTCGGAATAGCTTAGGGGAGTAGAGGCGAATCAGATGAAAAAAGGTAAAAGGCAAATTAGCCAAGCTAGCTAAGTGCCTTAGACAAGCAACAACCCTCCATACAATGGGGCCAATTTGTCCAAGACAAACATTGAAAAAACGACAGAACTCGATGATAACAGGATCAATGGGAGGTCTAAAATTAAGGGTAAAAGGATATGTATACACGAAAGAAAATCCAGTCATGTAGGATGTGATTCTTTGATTTGCATTAGGAATTATGATGGGGAAGTCAGATTTCCAATGGCAATCCCTACGGACGACAGAGATTAAACCTTCGGTAATTTGAGAAGGGTAGACATCAGCACGATCAAGAGAGGACATAGAGGAAACCTGTTTCTTAATCGATTCCCTATCAGAATAAAAAGAAAGTTCGGAGGGGACAATTTTCATCTACTAAGGGTTCACGAACTGGTTCATTGGAATCTCTGCTTTTAGAAGAAGTTCTATGTGGAAGAGAACCCCTGATTCTAGAAGATGAAGGAGGAGTGAAACTAGGTAAAGATGAAGGCGAACCTCGAATGGATGACGATCCTAAGCTACGTAACCTACCTCCTCTCCTGCTCCTAGTTGGAGCAAGAGGAAGTTCATCTACAATAAGAACTTTACGAGGATCAGGGTTTGAAGAAGACATGACTGAACAAGGAAGAAAACAAGAATGAATATTCAAAGATAAGGAACTTCTATGAGAAAGGCAAGACAAAAGTTATATTTATACTCAGAAGCAACTGTCAAACAAAGAAGGTAATGATGGGGGCGTCATAATGAAAACTATCACTTCGTGGTTGGTGCAGCCGCAAAAAAACCTTAAAAGACGCTGAAGGGTTGTAGACTCAATCAAAGGACGCCACGTGTCACGAGCATTAAATGGAAGTGACATACAAAGCGTCAGTTCTGAAGAAGGTATAATGGTGGCAAAAATTTCCGCTTTAATGAGATCCACTTTTCAAATATTCAATTGTTGAATAAATGACAAGTGGAGGAACTATCTGTATTGGGAAAATCAAGTTAACATATTGAATTTATTATGTGATGATCAAGACACGTGGATCAATAAGAGAGTGACAGTTGGCAAAAGATAGCTGAAGAGACACGAGCTTTGACAGGCACGGGCAGAGATTCAAGAAAACAGGGAGGAACAGTTACTCGGGCCTCTTGGTAATATGAAGAGGCATCAGAGGAATGAACCTAGATAGCAAAAAGTACAAATACGTATTATCCGTAATTAATGAGCATCAATGATGGAAAACGTTATAGAATCTTCATGAAACAGTTACGATTACCATAATGGCTCTATTATGAGAGGAAAGGAAACGTATTACTGAGAGATAGCTATAAAAAGAGAGATATAACATTTGTAAAGACACACACTATTATTGGAATACACTAATTTACTTTGCTTTCTTCTATTCGGCTATCATTTATTTCAATTCTTCTTATTTGTTTCAAATTTGATTATCAGTAATCCGAGTTCTTCTAAAAAATAAGCTTTGCCCCGAATTTCCTATTTTCTGGTTAAACATAACTGAAGAACACATTGAATAATAGCTAGAAGATAAAAAAAAAAACTTTTATTGCTTTGATATGCGTGTCAACATGTTAAAATGAAAAAGTTTTTCCCTTTATATAGTAGGGGAATTTCAATCCTAATACAAGTCTAGATAAGGTAAAAATCTTCTTGTTACGATAAATATCGATCCGCATTTGATATCAGATGGGATTTACGCCATAATATCCGGTTGAGGGCGTATATTACGGCTTCCCCCCTTGTCATGCTCAATCAGTTAAACTGAAGATTTTTTATCTTTTGTGAAATTGTACCTAGAGTAGGATTCTCCTACTATATAAAGGGAGTCTGATAATTCATGTAGCACAGTGTAACACGCAATCCAAAGCAATGTATTATTATTTTCTCTGTTATTAGCTCCTTTTCTTGTTCTTCAATTCTGGCTATTGCAAACCCGGATCGAGGGTGAATATTTCACTAAGACCGGAACTATTCTCCTGGTGTAGTTTGAATTCATTTTATCTTTGTTTGTTCAATCTAACTCAATTCATCGTTTTGTATTATATTAATCCGCGTATCTTTAAATCCACTTACAAATTAAAATGTTATCCGATTTTGTGGGTAAACAAAGACCAAACACGTCTTTAATTCTACGCTTCAATCCTGCCTAATAAATCTAAATTCGGATGTTTTATGTAACCCGAGGAAATGAAGGGAAGGGAGCATTAAGCACTCATCTTATAGGGCAAGTGAAACTAGAAGATCACTTGACCAAATGCTAAATTGCACACTAATTGGCACAAATAGAGATTTCTTGCTTTTGCATCATCTCTGGGGAAACTTTTCTTTCCATTTCTCTTTTATCAACCGAAAAAGTAGAATATAAGTGAATCAAGACTAAGTGCAATTCTAGAAACTATAAAATAACTAGCTGTTCATGACAATTTTCAAAACAATATTCCACCTAAATCAAACCACTTTGCCAGCCAATTGATGAATTAAATTGCTTAATTGAAAATAGTTGCCGACCGTAACGGGCAAAAAATGGGAGTCAATAATGTTCGTTGCAATTCCTTAAATCCATTAGTTTCTTGGAACTAGATATCATATCATGTCTTCTTTCAACGTTATTTTACAAGTAAAGGAAGTATTGCGTATGCATTTTACTTGATGTAATTGTTGAATATTTCGTAAGCAATTAAGGAAAGAAAATTATCAAGCAAATTAGGGTTGGACTTCTAACATATTTAATTAGAACTATAAATCTAAATTTCCTTTTTATTTTTCCATTTCCATCGCATGCAAATTTTCTTCAATTATTGGCAATGGATGGTTTTCTAAGATATTAATTAACGTAGACAGCTTATTACAAAATATCTTTTTTGGGGTGAGATTTGCTAAGTGAAGGAAAGTTAGTAATTCTGGTATATATAAAGTTAATTACATCTGAAGATTAGTAGCTCAACATTCATGTCTAAGTGAAAGACGAGCTAGCTTCACATCCACAAGATTTCACATTTTAGAACTCAAAAGCTATATGATAAAATAAAACTAGTGTAGTTCATTGAGGACATACTATCCAATACTGTCCTGATAACACAAAAAAACAATTCTTTTTCTCTTCCTTATGTTTAAAAAAAAAAAAAGTTTTGTTTATTAGCTTCACCCTTTTGCCCATAATATATTTCCAACAACGTAACTTTTTACTGTGTGTCTTTAGCCTTTTTGTGAAAATGGGTGAAACATGAGTGACTTGAATGCGGTGCACGAGAGTTTGTAAGTAGTAGTAGTTAATAAAATTAAGAAATATTTTTGTGGTAAGTGGGTAGGGGGGGCTGAAGCTGATGGACGACCATATGTGTCTGTTGGGTCGGTGAAAGCGAAATTCTTCTAACTTATTTTCCCGTGGACGGCCAATTATATCTACTTGCTCTATTCCACTATTACCAATTTAATTATTTACCTATCTCTCCCATCACGTTTTATTTTCTATCGTTTGATTGAATATAGAGTTTTAGAAAAAAATTAAAATTTATAGTTTAAAATAATCTATAGATAATTAGTATGTAGTTGTAAATTAACTCATAAATAATGGTAACTTCATCTCCTTTTGGTTTCAAATCAGATAAGCTATTGCAATATTGCCAATTTTAAGGATATTGGGAGATACTAATAGATTTTATTAAGTCCCAAAATGAAACTCTAGCGTCATCATCTTTTCCCCTATATAAACCTCTGTCTCTCACTCTTATCTTCCATCTCTCTCGCATAGTATTAGTCAAGAAAGAAAATACTCCAAATTTAGCATATAGTGAGAAAATGGCAAAGAACGTGGGTAGTGAAGGGTCGTTCACGACGAAAGACTACCAAGATCCGCCGCCAGCACCACTGATTGACCCAGTAGAGCTAACCCAATGGTCTTTTTACAGAGCACTCATTGCTGAATTCATAGCCACTCTTCTCTTCCTTTACATAACGGTGCTGACCGTCATTGGTTACAAGAGCCAAAGTGCAACGGCAACTGATCCTTGTGCTGGTGTTGGGATCCTTGGTATTGCTTGGGCATTTGGTGGCATGATTTTCGTTCTTGTCTACTGCACCGCTGGTATTTCTGGTGGTCATATAAATCCAGCAGTCACATTTGGATTATTCTTGGCGAGGAAAGTATCACTAATAAGGGCAGTTATGTATATGGTGGCTCAGTGTTTGGGAGCCATTTGTGGCGTTGGATTAGTTAAGGCTTTCCAATCAGCTTACTACCACCGCTATGACGGCGGAGCCAATATGCTCTCCGACGGATACAGTCACGGCGTCGGGTTGTCGGCGGAGATCATCGGAACTTTTGTTCTTGTTTACACTGTTTTCTCTGCCACTGATCCCAAGAGGAATGCTAGAGATTCTCATGTCCCTGTAAGTATTAATTAATGGAGTAGTATATTTATTTTTTATTAATTATTTCCATTTGCGTTCCTTCTTATGGAATAAGTATGTTTTTATTAGTTTTTTCCTCAGCTTCGCATGTGTTTTTCAATCTTCAACTTGATAATTAAATATACTACAACAACAAACTTAGTAAGCAGGACAGGACAAGGATCTAGGATTTAAACTTTATGGGTTCAATTTTAAGGTTCTTAGAATTGAATCATTTATATTTTTAAAGTTATGGGTTCATATATCTACTATTTTTGCAATTTTAATGAATTTTTACATACAAATTTTTAGTTCGGTTATGGGTTCAGTTGAACTCGCAGATAAAATACTACATCCGCCTCTGCTAGTAAGAATCCCACATTAGGATCTGAAGAGGTTAGGATGTATACACACATTAGTCCTACCTTTGTAAAGACATAGAACTTATTTTCAATAGACTATCGGCACAATAAAATACGGAAAAGAAACATTAATAGTAGAACTTGGTAATTAAATATGTCAAGGAGAAAGGAATAATTAAGATAAGAAAAAGAAAAAAAGAAGCATATGAGGATGTACCACCCGTAACTATATTAAATACTATATTTATTTCCTAGTATTGTACAACCGCAAATGGTCCATTGCATTTCCATAAAGTTCTTTTACTTTGAACTTTGATTCGTTTGCCTCTTTTTATCTTTCTTAATATGACAACAATTTCAAAAGTAGAGAGTTTAATACTATTAAATTCTCGAGTAATTTATATCTTCTTAGAGCAATGAATATATGGTTTTGTTGAATACTAGGTGTTGGCGCCACTCCCCATTGGATTTGCAGTTTTCATGGTTCACTTAGCCACCATTCCGATCACCGGCACCGGAATCAACCCGGCTAGGAGTCTTGGCGCTGCCGTTATCTTCAACCAACACAAAGCCTGGAAAGACCACGTAAGCTCCTCTTTCTTCTTATGACTAAGTGACTTGATAGTGTAAAAATTTACCAATATGAAAGGTCCTACCCAAAATATATATATATATAACTATTATTTAGTTAGTAGTTTGTGTTGATTAATTTCTTTCATGTTTTGGTAGTGGATATTTTGGGTAGGTCCTTTCATTGGAGCAGCCATTGCAGCATTCTACCATCAATTCATATTGAGAGCAGGTGCAGCTAAAGCCCTTGGTTCATTCAGGAGCACTACTTCTCAAGTTTGATGATTAAATTTGAGAGAAAAAGAGGAAAGGGTTGTTGTACTCTAAATATTTATGTCAATGTTTTGTTTTAATTAGTGGTCTTAATTTCTAGCTTTCCTTGTCACAAATTATGATGGTTTTGAAGATCATGCGCAATAGTGGTGTTGTACTTGAGAGCCAAAGATGTGTAGATTACAAATGTATTGTCTTTGGAAAGGGAAAGCTCTTTTTTTTTTTGGTATTCCCTTTTATCATTGACAATTGATCTTTGCATCTACACTTTGTGTTTAGGACTATCTTTCTTTGTATTTTTCACTTCTTTATCTTAATTCATTTCACTTTATGTTTCAGTCCACTTTTCATCTCTGTTCTTTGGATAATTATTTGCCTTTTAGTTGTGGGTCATTATAGTTCTTACATATCAAGTTTTGCACATTTATTTAATCGTAATCTTAAGCAAAAACGAATAATATATCTTATTATAATCTCAAGGATTAAATTTTCAAAAAGTCTATTTTCAAGTCTTTATCCTTGATATTGTTTTTTCCGGAGACGCACTGCTGGGTTATAGTTTCTTTTTCTCCTTTTTAAAGGCATTCGATATCTGAAATTCATTGCACGACTAACTCAAAAATCGACAAAGGGAGCTAAAGTCTTCCCTTGCTACCAACATATTTTTTTTATTTTTCACAATCGACAATACGAGACTTTTGATTAAGAATGAAGAAATTCCAACCATTTTATTACACCTCTTAGTAGTGGTCGTGAAAAGTTAGTTTCTTTAGTGATAGGTATTTAAAATAAGTATTCTCATGGACATGATGGTTGAATTTAATGTAGTAAACCTGCCCAAAAATGCATGATTAGGTCTTGTCTGAAGTTGTTAAAAAAGGGTTAGGAGTAATAATCATATATGATAAGAAGTTCAGCCAACCAGCAATGATAAAAGCAGCTATCAACTATCAATCAAGTAGTATAGCAGTTTTTCTTTTTGTCTTTTTACTCAACTAGTTGGATCTCACCTCACTTTCCTTGAGTTTTACTCGTGTACAAAATCCAACGAAATAGTATAGCAGTTTTTTTTCTTTTTTATATTTCATCAGAAGAAAGTGTTCTCATAGTATATTGAGGAATTCAATTTAAACACTAAAAAAAACAAAAATTAAAGGCTAAAGATATGATGTTGTGTATTAAAACTTACTTCCTAATATATCGGGATTACAGTTTACAATTGAAGCTTAGTGGTAACATACGATTTCCAGTGAAATTGATGGACTATCATAGTTACCCTCATGTCGGCGTAAGACAACAGTGAAGTAATTGAACCGCAGCGACAGACTCTGTGATATTGCCAAATTATTGTTATTTAGATATGGATATGTGAACCACCTAACCTAATAAGCACTATTTCCTCTCTTTTCCTAGAACTTACAAGTGACAACTTTCAATTAAAATTTGGCTTCAATTTTGTGACGCTTACTCGTTTACAGTACCTCAATTTTGGGCCAAACAGTACCTCTTTCTTTTCTTTTTGAGTCGTAAATGCAAAAGCTAACCTTATTGTATATGTTAATAAAACCGGATTCAGAATTTAAAGATTGTATACTTCTGTTGTAATCTCAAGGTAATATACTTAATAAATGAATTTACAGTCAAATACTTATAAATATTTAGTGAATTTATTAATATAAATACAGAGTTTGAGCAAAAGTTATTAAATTAATTCAAAACTTGTTTACATTTTTAGGCACTCTAGCGCTGTAGAATGTCTGTCAAATTTATTACCGTCATTTATTAGGTAGCATGTACGATTAAGACGGGAGAGCACAATTTGCTGTGGTCCTGGGGACCATCAAAGCTAAAGCTATAGAAAATTTGAGTCAGCTAGCTCTGGACTTTCAGATAGCAATTAACGACCCCATAGATCAGGAAAGATCGAAAAATCAAAATGAAAAGAAAAAAAGAGGTAATTCTCCTTCACATGAACAAAGTGTTACTCCTCCGATAAGGGTGGCAAGCGGGCGGGTTGGATCAGAATTTAAGCGGGTCAAAACGGGTAATTTAAAAACGGATAAATTATCCGACCCGACCCGTATTTGAGACGGATAAAAAACAGGTTTATCCGGCGCAGATAATATGGATATTCATATTATCCATAGCTTCTTAAATATGATCACTTATAAGAGAATTCCTAGTCTTCCAAACTTGAGGAACTCCAATTTGAGGCTTTACAAATGTTAAAGTTAAACACATTAGTTATCCATTGGCTATCCGTTTGGTTAACCATTTTCTAAGTGGATAATATAGCTCTTTATCCATATTCGACTCCTTTTAAATAGTTCATTATCCAACCTATTTTTTGATGGATAATATGGGTGGATAACTGTTTTCTTTTAACCATTTTGCCAGCTCTACTCCTCCTTATGAGCATACACCATCAGATTCCATTCCGTGGTGCTAAGAAGATGAGCGACAATTGTAAGAAGACAGTTTGTACAAAGACAGAAGCATCTGATCCATGGAAGACTTAGAATACTGTCCACAAAAATCACTATCACTCATCAGTGGGAATGAATAAAGTACCTTTCTTGTAGCCAATAGACCTAATTACAAAGTGAAAAACAATTAAGATTGTCTTGTAAATGAATTTTCCGAAATGTGTCTGGTTGGTTAGGGAGGGTGATTTTACTCGAAGAAAACATTCTTCCAGGCGGTACATTTTGGAATTTTTTTGCATTAAAAGTGGAAACAGCTCTGAAATCATTTTCATAATTTTGATAAAACTCTAATTTACAATCTACACCGCAAAAATGTACAATAGCTTTTGCTATTCCTGGGAAAAAAAAATCAATGAACAACAGTTGATATTACAATAATGGGGAAAGATACAAAGAAGGAGCTAATAAAGGAAAAGACCTGCCAAGAATGAAGAGCTCAGAAATTGGTACTTATCCATTGAATAGCTTCCTGAATGGCCCATCCTTGCGATCTTTTGCAGCTTCTGTTAAAGCGAGGAATCTCTTAAAGCCAGTAGTAGCTGCACCTCTTCCAAGTGCAGCTGCTCTGGTCAGCACATCTTCTCTTGAAGTGATGGCCCCAGGTGATGATGATGCGTTAGTTATGGCCGGTGCTATTGAGGTGTTTGGAGCAGATGGTACAACTGAAGGGGCCATAATGGTCGGCTGAGAGATACCTGACCCACGTTTGTTGAAGTCATCCAGTATGCTCTGCTGATCAGCTTTTTTCAGGCCCTGCAATCACAAAGTGCATTCAAGATATTGTGTACAAATGAGAAAATCATGAGGAGAATCGACAAACAAAAAGTGAGCAGCTAGCACATTAGCTCTCGTGCCCCAGGATATGAATGAAAATTCAAGATCACTATAAAGCTTTCTAAAGTAAAGTGATTGACTTCTCAAAGCTTCTTGCTGCAACTTATAGCCTTTATACTGAAGATTAGAGTCTCCGTATGATTGGCACTAATTTTGGGTTATAATCTCTTAAATAATCTTGAAGAGCACTCAGTCAAAGCTAAAAACAAATAGAGTATGACCAAGCAAAACCATGTCTAGGACATATTCGTCTAGCATGTTAAGCACCAAAATTGTCAGTTTGTACTCTATAGCTAGAGTTATATAGAGCACTAAGAACTGAAGGTAACAGCCTAACGTGATCATCCAATTTAAAACTTTAATCCCAGTCCCATGCTCTAAATGGAAAATAAAGAGTTCACCAAATTGCTAATCTCTTATAGCAACCTCAGAAATAAAACATTTTAGATTGAGAAAAGAGCTGGAGAATAAAATGAAGAGTGGAACCTTAAGCTCCAAAAGCCGCTGAAATTCTGCAAGTGTTCCCTCTGGCAGCAGTGCACAGTATGTGTCTGCCACAGAATCTATTGGAGATAGTATGACCTAAAAACAGACCATTCAATATACTATATAGACCTTCAATATATAATAACATCATTTTCTGAGACTAACACAAAGCTCATCAATCACTGACCTTCAATAATGCTTCTGCTTTGCTCATCTCACGACTGACAAATTTAGAATAGCTAGCAGCTCCTGCTGTCTGTTCAAAATAGAGAGGTTTGCAAAAAGTTTAAGCCAATGTTGTTGTTTTAAGTTTTGTACCAAGGGCATTCAGAGATTTAGCTATGGTTTTTAGTGGAGCAATAACTTCAACAAGACGAACTCAGTGCGCAAAATATTAGTGACAACGGAAAAGACGTCCTGCGAGGATTGAGAGATATTATAACTGTTTTTTCTGTAACAGTGTCGTCTCATATTCATCGGGAGACTGAATGTTTCAAACAAGCAGTGGCCAGCTTTGCTTATTCGGCTTTCTACGACCAATCATATGGACAGTTTCAGCTATCAGCCACTTTATTTCACCAAAACTACATATTACATTATTACTTCAAGAATGAAGTGCAATTACTTGCTTGCCTTAAAGTAAAGAAATGGAAATTTAAAGAGGATGACAGAGCTGGGGACAAAATGTCAGTTTAAAATATAATTAAACAGAAAAAAAAAACAAAAAGAAAAAAAATCAATAGAAGGATCCATTCTTCAGAAATGCTGGCAAGCTTACTTGTTTTCCAAGAGAAGGAATTTCCAGCAAAATAGTCTTTACTGCTTGCGTATCCAAAAGCATCTGCGATAATGTCATGCGAGTTAAATTAAAATTAAATTAAGATGATCACAATTTGACAAGATACATGGCGCTGACATTGCAAAAATTATTAAGCCGTGCGCTATAGTGAGCTCAAACTGCTCTAGTAGTAAGAGAGCCAGCTTGGCTCACCCCACAGTCAAGATTTATGCTGATGAGTAAAACTTTATAATTGAAGTGATAGTAAGTCAAGATTATCAGTACTTGCTGTGCTCCAGTCTCTGAAATCTGTTTGCATTTGAATATATTGTGAAAGAACCGTGGACCGAGAGACGACGCAAGCTGCATAATGATGAAAACATGAGCTTTTTTTTTTTTTTTTGCGAAATGATGCAGAGATCAAGGTATTTACACAGGTAAGCCTTGAAATTTTAAAATATTGCTTGAAATTGAAGACAATTTTTACCTTATCCAGAAAGAATTGGAAGTAAATGGGAGAGAGAAGGCTTCCGAGCACAGGAATGCTACTGGTAAGGATCGAATTTATGCCATTGACGTACCTGCAGGAAATTTACAAGCTTCAACAAATCATAAGAAATGTTTCTGTCAGAAGGGGGAAATGGAGGAGGTAATTAACGTACTCTGACTGATCACCAACACTTTCGAGAGTACTCCATGGAACACGAGTCATTGCAGCCATCTCAGAGTCAAACTTTGTTTCTATTCCGTGCACTAGTG